AAATTATTATTAATTATATCGCTCTATAATTTCTTATTATTCTCCTCAACTAGCAGTTTTACCTGGATATTCATTTTTTATTAACTCCTCGTGATTATCCACATAATCAAAGTATTATATATATATATATATATATATATATATATATTTATATATATATATAGGAATCGGAGAGCCGAGTTGGAATCCACCAGATATACGAAAGCAAAGATCAAATTGTGCTTTTGAACAGAGAACTTTCCCAATTCTCGGAATATACATAACTGATCAATCTCATATCTTGACGATAACAAAGACTATTTTTAGGAATGTATTTTTTATTTAATCATCTGATATATTTTAATTTATTGCTTAGATACGTAGATTTTTATCTAATATTCCGGTCGGTAGATATAAATGAATAAATATTCTGTTTAATAAATTAAAGACTACAATGGATAAATTTAAAAAAGATAAAAGAGCACGTTCGTGCGTAGTTTTTAAAATCCCCATGTGTTTTATTTTAAAATTATCATGGCCTACAATACAACATTTCTAGTTTTTAATGCCTTAATACGCTTTTGTACCGTTTCAAACCTATTTAAATATATATATATATATATATATATATATATATATATATATATATATATATATATATATATATATATAAACAGCAATAGTGTCTAAATCATGTAAAAATTATTTCAATCTGCTCTCTTTTTATCTGAATAACTCAAAGGTTTTTTTCAGTGATTCTTACGACAAATTGTGTCAAGATGGCTAAATGTCTCATCTGAAAATCTGGAAAAAGAAACTCAATTAGTTTTGTATTTTTGTTTTTTTGTTTGTGGGATGGACAATTATCTCATGCTGTTACACGATTTGGACAATATTGCTGTTACACCTTCTATCTATCTCTCTCTCTCTCTATATATATATATATATATATGAAGAAATATAATTTTAGAGTGTGCTATATTTATGGGATAAAGTGCTCAATATCAGAGATAGAGCGTATGTAATTATAAAAGTGAACATTGAAGTCAACACTCAGAGGCGATAGGCTGTTTCATGCTAATCATCAGCACAATTGCGTCAATTAAATGAATTACATAAAAATGAAACGCAATTGCACCCCGTTTTTATGGCCATTTCGCTTCTTTGGAAATATTCCCCGGAGCTGGTCAATATTAAAACGTTTTATTACTGACAAGGAGCGAAAAACGTTTTTAGTATTGACAAAAAACGTTTTAGCAATGATGAGGGGCGAAATGGCATAAAAAATGGCGCACAACTGAGTTTCATTTTTATGTATATATATATATATATATATATATATATATATATATATATATATATATATATATATATAATTGTGTATTTGTGCAGCAATCCTCTTTTACGCAAGTTTCGTTGAAAAAGGAAGAAGTTGTGGTGGTTGAGATTTTTATATAATTACTCATCTGTTTGTTTAATTCTTTTCTTTTCAGGACAAAAATTATATAAGAATTGTCCGAATGTTTTCTAAGCGCTTTTGACTTTTACTTTTAGCCAAGGGTGAATTTTATTTTATTTTTAACTAAACATATTGTTTTATGTATGTCTAGAGTTACAGGAATGTTTTATTTTCCAAACACTGTCAGCACATTATGACCGTGTCCATAGTTGATATTACTGAATGTTGGCTTTTTCTTTTTTTTTATTAATAACGCTTCCATTATAGTATGCCTTTTTGTACATGTGAATGATATTGTTAAATTTGTGTTATCAATGATCATGTAACGGATAGACTTTAGTAGGTCACCATGTGTTTTTAAATGAGACTTAATTGAGCTATTATCAGATAGATATAACGTGAGTCTTCTTGTTAAGCACGTTGTAGTATATCCAGTATAATTATTTACGAATTTGGATTGGTCAGAAACACAGCTCATTAAGAGATATGTAAGTTCGTAAATAATATTAGTTCTATGTAATGTAGATCTTGCAGGTGAATTATTATATTTTATGATGAGGTTAACGGTTTTAAATTTTTTTGAAATAAATAATTAATTTTCTTCTTTTTGTCGACTGGAATTGTATATTTCGTTATGATGTTTCTAACTGATGATTTGTCTTGCTTATAGTTCCTATGCATTTGATTTTTGTGAAAAATGTTAATGTTATTGATTTTTTTCTGTGTGTTTTGTGTTGTTATTTGGTTACCTTGAAAAAACGCCTAATATGGTAATCAATAAGATGATTAGGACAGCCGTTATTAACAGATATTTGTATCACGTTATTAAGTTCTTTATAGAAAATCGGACGAGAGGGGGAATTCTCGTGCGGCTCGCACGAAGAAAATTTTAATAACACCATTTTTTTTAAAAAGCATTTCACCCCAAGCAAGGCGAGAAGCCACTAGGACGCACGGGGTTACAGAAGATTTGGAGCAAGATCAGATAGGAGTGATAGAGGAAAGGATGAGGAGAAGGGTAAGTGGATAGATCAAGGCAACTGGAGATGTCGATTATATTTGAATAGTTGGAGATTATAGCTATCAGGGAAATAGGAAAAGGGAAGGGAGTTCCACAGGTGAGAGATGCGAGACATGACGCTATTGGAATAGAAGAGACGGCTACATTTAGGAGTTCCGACAGTGAAGGGGTGAGAGCAGGATTCCAGCCTCGTAGGGCGCTTGAACTCATGAAGTCTGGGAACCAGCGAATGCAGCTCCTCGGAGCAATTACCATGAAAGTATTTGTAAAACAGACAGAGAGAGGCGACGGCGCGTCTGTGAGAGAGCGACTGTAGACGAGATGCCAGAACAGGGCCAATTATATTGCATATCCGCTTTTGGAGCTTATCAAGAACCCCGAGGCAAACCGAAGGGGATCCAGACCATATATGGCAGCAATACTCCATGCAAGGGCGAATTGTTGATTTGTGGATCTGGAGGATCGATTCCGGGGAGAAAAATTTCCTGGCGCGGCACAGGGAGCCAACTTTCCTTGCGGTGGACGAAGCAATTGACTCAGTGTATTTGTTCCATCTCAGGTCAGCAGTCAACGTGAGACCTAGCAGCCGCAGAGAGGTGCTCTCGAGAAGTTGAGCGTCAGACATTCTAATGGAGGGCAGGGAAGGATCTCTGTGGTGATTAATAGAGAACAGTTTTGTTTTTGAGGCATTTCGATGCTAACTTGGGAATTTATGGCGTCAGAAAGGTCATTTATGTAGATAAGGAATAGAGTGGGGCTCAGGATGAAGCCTTGAGGTACACCTGCGTTCGTGGGATAGGAACTGGAGGAGAATCCGTAGAGACCTTACATCTGATAAGACATTAGCTAGTAAAATTAAGATAGCAAGCGTTTTTAACGTGTAGGTTGTTTATATAACGAAGTAGAGGATGTACTAATACATTATATATATTTATATATATTTATATGTTAAAAAATTTCCTTTCTCTACTGAGTTTAGGGGTAGAGACTCTGACTGATGCCATATCGGGCGAGTTTCGATTCCGGCTTAAAGCAATCGGATGTTTGGTCACACTGGTGAGCTGCGATACAGCGAAACAGTATGTATGTGGATGATATATATATATATATATATATATATATATATATATATATATATATATATAAGAAATATACTTTAAGGTGAACTGTTTATGGGATAAAGTGCTCAATATCAGAGATAGAGCGTGTGTAAATATAAAAGTGAACATTGAAGTCAACAATTAGAGGCGACAGGCTGTTTCATGCTAGACGCTATCGTCAGGCCACGAGTGTTGTTTTTTTCTCGGCTATTTAATTTTTCTCGGCTACGTCTTGCATGAAACAGCCTGTTGCCTCTAAGTGTAGACTTCAATGTTCAAGGTCCTCAAATGACCCTCCGCAGGTTTTGAATTCAGAGTTGACCTTCTCCTAGACCAGTTGCTATCTAAGGCTATAGAACACAGTCTGTTCTGCTATTTACCCATAGCTGTAAGGAGAAGAGGAGGATTCGTATCTTTACCAAGGTTATTAGCACGTAAGTGAATGTAATGGATTCGACTTCGATTCCTCAAACTCAGCCACCAGCCATTACTCTACCGTACCTCCTATATATATATATATATATATATATATATATATATATATATATATATATAAGCCAGAATAATAAAATTCTTAGTTTATTACTCTCTTTTATTCATAAGATGTGGCTATCATGATTTGTGGTCAGTATTGTCTCAGTGAAACATAATGTAGGCGTTGATAATATTGCTCAAGTCTATTGCTTATTGCTATCATCAAATACCAGGTTCTGGTTGGCTGGAATTGTCAAGTCAGGCGTTGCTATGCAACAAACTATTTTAAAAAAAAAATAATATTTTTCTTTTTCAAATTTTTTTTTCGAAAGTTGTTGATATTTTGCACTAATGTTACCACGCTTCCGGTGCGCTCTCCTGTCTGAAATGAAACACAGTATTTAATGGAACAGGAAATATGTGATTCTGATGTGAACTGTATGTAATTTGGTCGTCATTCTTCAATAATCTGAACAAAAGCAAAAACTGAACGAATGTCTCCTGTCTGACTGCTTCCATACGCATGCGCAGATAAATTTCTTTTTAAAATTTCTCTGTCAAACGTTTCACTAGCGATATATCATAGCATCATTAATTTCATAGAATCGAACGTTATAGAAATACAGTTTAGAAAACAATCCCTTTTATCTTGTTAGGTAGTTTGGCATATCTATCTATCTATCTATCTATCTATCTATCTGTGTTTCAATGAATCTATCTATATATCTCTATCTATTTATCTATCTAGTTTTTTCTCTCCATTTAGCGATATAATTATCCAGTTTGTTTCTATCTATCCGTCTATCAAATCTGTTTTCTCTTCTATCTATCTATCTATCTATCTATCTATCTATCTATCTATCTATCTATCTATCTATACATACATACATACATAAGTATATATATATATATATATATATATATATATATATATATATATATATATATTTGGTATAAGTAGCCTCAAATGGTTGAATATCCTCGAATCTCAAAAATAAGAATGGTCAGAATTAAATTCTTAATTTCCCATTTGCTTTAACGATCGAACTGTCTACGACCTATTACGCTGTAACAAAACTGAACGCTACATAAAAAAAAAAGCGCCTGTGAAATGATTGACAGGATTAATATACAATACTTATAAAACATTTCCTCCGGTACGCTGGTTTACGTTAAAGGCAATAAAAATGACAATGAAATGAATCGAAATCAAAAAAAAAAAGAAGAAAAGTTGGATGAAAAAATTAAGAAAAAATTAAATACAATCATCTTCAGTTTTAGCGTAATTTTCACTATGTTTATTTTTTTCTTTACTCTCAAATTTCCCGCGGGATTATTGAAGCGAATCGGAATACTTTTTTTTTTTTTGTGGCGCACTTTTTCGGCCAAAATGTCACGCATCTCCAGCCAATTTCTATTCTTATTAACACTATGTCTTTCGTTGGTCAAGCGTCATGAATGCGCGTATAAATTGCAAATGTCGAGATGCAAGCGATCCGTAAACTATAGCGTTAAGTGACAAAATGACGGACAAATGTCAATATATATTTTGGATGATTCATTTCTGTTAGAGAAAGATTCGGAAAAGTAGGACGATATATATATATATATATATATATATATATATATATATATATATATAATATGCATCCACATTTAATCCTCTTTTGCATTTTCGAAGAGCCGTCCTGGGTATGACGATAAACTACACCCGGCAACAAGGCCTCTGATCCTGGTACCAGCTCTTAATCGTTGTGGCATTCAGGTCCACCCTGTTAGAGTCTTAGCTGTGGGTAAATAGTAAATATACCAGTAATAGATTTTAATTGTAAACAGAAATTATCAAAGCTACCAAGAAAATAAAATTTCGGCATTAAATGAACCATGAAGAATTGATATGCCATCAAATAAACAAACTAACCAACTATTTCCGAAGAACACTTATACTCCGATTAGTTTAAACCTAGATTCAGCAAAATATGTATACGAGGGTAATTGATATCCGCACTTTCCTAGTAAGATATCTTGAAATTTCTCAAACTGCATTCTGCTTATGCGTGATCATAGTTCGTACTTCTGTGGTCACATGATCGAAGTTTGAACTTGATAGCGTCAGTTTTCTTGTTTCTCTCACAGTGTAAACATGTCCGCTTCGCTAGCAGTGTGCACCAGGTAGGAACAAAAATCAAGGAACCGATTTCTTTGGTCAGAAGTGGTGTCAGAGGCTGGAAGCTTACATGGGGATTACTTTGAGGACTAACAGTATGTCAAATTTGCTGTATACCTTTCTTTTTTTCTAAGAAATAAAAACCGGCAAGGACTTTTTAGGTTAATATCTGAAGTATGATGTTCGTCATTCAAATAATGCATTACCATTGAAGAGGGCTGAAGGTGTAAAATAAACATTTTGGGTAAAATAAATGTCTTTCTTTATTAATCGACTATGGTTATATAAATATATCGACGTATCTAAGACAAGCTGCTGAAGAGTTCTCTGCCCTTATCAATTAAAAAAATCAGACAACATAATCAAATATCGGATTTTTAAAAAATAATTCCTTCTTGGACGATTCGACAAGTTTTCAACCTTTTGAATATGTGTATTTTGTCATTAAACAGAGCCAATTATGCGAAACAAAAAGCATCATCATATATATATATATATATATATATATATATATATATATATATATATATATATATATATATATGTATCTCCTGATAGGTATGCATCTTTCTCTCTCCTTTGCATATATATATATATATATATGTCAAGAAGATTTGCAATTAACAATTTGAAAAGTTTGAGAAAAATAATAACTTGTGTTTTTTTATCTTCCAAAATATATGAAATGTTAAGAACATCAACCTAAAAAAAAGTACGACTACAAGTTTTCTTGAAGTAAACACTAATCAAACAAATATCACTATAGCTGATTTTTGTAACTAATAGCCAATTAATTAGGAAACGCTAACACTAGTCCATAATGTAAATTTCTTTACATCTCCACGGGGTTTGTCTATTTTATCGGCAGTCTACTTTGAATAAACTTGAATACGTTTTATTCTTATTTGAATATTTTTCTTTCTTTCTTCCTTTCTTTGTTTTTCTTTCTTTCTTTCTCTCTTTCTTTCTTTCTTTCTCTCTTTCTTTCTTTCTAACTTTCTTTCATCCTTTCTTTCTATTTTTCTTTTTCTTCCTATTTCCACATTATTTTTCTTTTTCCTTATTCAACATTCTTCCTCCTTTCTTATATTTTATATCCTCGTTTTCTCTTTCTTTCTTTCTTTCTTTCTTTCTTTCTTTCTTTCTTTCTTTCTTTTTACTCCATATCTATTTTATATCTTTTCTCTTTTTTACTTTTTTTTTCATTGATGTCTTGTCTCTTTTCTTTTTACTCTCTTCTTTTTTTATATATATTTCTATTATTTACCAACTTTTTTCTCGCCCTTTCCTGCCAAACCTCCTTCCTTCTTTCTTTCTTTCTTTTTTTCTTTCTTTCTTTCTTTCTTTCTTTCTGCTCCGGAGAATGCGACAACCAATGTTGTCTTAGTGATTTCCCATCAGTGGCCTTTTAATCGTGGACAAAAGCTAACGGTCATAGCGTCTGTGATTGTCTGAACTGTGCTAATTGTATTAAATTGTACTCATTTTTTGTATTGTACTATACTGCCTGTACAGTACTCTAGTGATTGTCTGTACTGTACTAATTGCCTGTATTGTACCGAACTCTTACACACACACACACACACACACACACACACACACACACACACACACACACACACACACATATATATATATATATATATATATATATATATATATATATTTCTCGGACATTCAGGCCGGTAAATGTTTTTAATACTGTTTATTATAAACAGAACATTTACTAAATATTTGTATCTATAAAAAGAATGTATAAACAAAAATGTCTTAAAATAATTGTCGGACATTGTCCAATTCATAATGTGTGACGTCATTTGTTTACATTTGATACGCCATGAGCAGATATGAATGTACGGGAGAGATTCATGGAAGATTGAAGTTTATAAGCAGTAAATTCGACCTTGCTAGCCGAACGCTCTTTCGTGGCCAAATCTGTAAAGTCACGTCAAGCTAAATGACGGTTCCGTATAGGATACAGGTTCGAATCCTGTCGGAGGACGAATATTTTCTGTGAAAATTTCTCGGACATTCAGGCCGGTAAATGTTGTTTAATACGGTTTATTATAAACATACCATTTACTTAAATATTTGTATCTATAAGAAGAATATATATGAATATAGCAGCAATGTATTAAAGTGCATATAAGAAACATTTAATGCCATTTTGCAAACTTCCGGTTAGCTCCCTTACATTGAAACGCTTGTAGAACAATTCCATGGCTACAGCGGATAAATTTAAAATAATAAACAGAATGCGTTGGCGCGTGTTTTTAAAATCATCATCACAATCGAATGCAGATTTTAATGCAGTTACGATAAGTTTGACTTTGTAATTTAACCCTGAAGATGATATTAGAACAGTTCGAAAGTACTTGATTTAAAGACAACTACGGCTCCTTCCTTGATGAATTTCATCTTAATTTAACTGAATCATTGAAACGTTTTCGGGGCTTTAATTCGATATATATATATATATATATATATATATATATATATATATATTAAGAAATGGACGAGGTCCGACAATTTATTTATTAAAGACATATTTTATGTTTAACGTTGTTATTTTATAGATACAAGTATTTAAGCAAATGCTCTGTTTATGATAAACAGTATTAAATAACATTTACCGGCCTGAATGTCCGAGAAATTTTCATAGAAAATATTCGTTCTTTGACGGATTCGAACCTGCATCCTATACGGAATAATTCATATACGCTGAACGCTTCTTTGTACGTGCCTTACCGTTAAAGAACTACAAAGAAGGTTCAGGTAACAAAGGTCTGTTTATCATAAACAGAGCATTTGCTTAAATACCGTATCTATAAAATAACAACGTTAAACATAAATATGTCTTTAATATATATATATATATATATATATATATATATATATATATATATATATATATATATCGAATTAATTTCATGGTTTTTATTCAAATCGAAACTGTGTGAATATGACAATAAAGTTTAAGACAACAGTCCGAATAATGTAAATAATTATATACCTCGTCTCAGAAATAGAGAGACATGTTGAAAATGACCGGAGCGTACAACGGCTGAAATGTCGTGAACATGATAATAAAAATTAGGGCAACAGTCCGAATAATGTGAATAATGTAAATAATTATAAACCTCATCTCAGAAATTGAGAGAGATGTTGAAGAAGGCCGGAGCGTACAACGGCTGAAATGTCGTGAACATGACAATAAAGATGAGGACAACAGTCCGAATAATGTAAATAATTCCAATACCTCTTCTCAGAAATAGAGACGGATATTGTGAGAGACAAGTCTATGTATTGGGATGTGGAAAAAACAAGCGAATACAGAAATTATTTGCCGTAATGAATTCACTAAATCCACAAAAATAAAAAGTGGTATAAGGCAAGGTTTTGTTTTCTCACCAGATTTATTCAACCTTTACAGCGAGGCGATCCTGCGAAAACTAGAAGTCCAACCAGGATTTATTGTTGCCGAACAAAATATTAAGAAGATAAAATATCCAGATGAGTCAGCGTTGACAGCAGACAATAAAAAGGAAACCACAGAACATCGCCAAAAGCGTAGAGAAGGACGCGGAGAATACCATGGACTGAACATATGAGTAATAAGGAAGTTTTAAGGACAGTAAAAAAAAAAAAAAAAAGAACACTTCTACCCAGTATCAGAAAAAACAGTTAAAAATATTAGAACACTTAATGAGGAAATCGTGCTTAGAAAATTGGGCACCCATAGAACAACCATATTGGAGGCAAAATGGATGGTGGGGGTGGGATAGCGAGTAACCAAGCTGATGAGGTTTGTGTAAATGTATTGCTTGATTGATTAGTTTTTGTTTTATTTTTACGGGTTATCAATCTTTTGCAGCCAGAAAATATTTTTAGGTTGTAAGAATTTTGGAGAGAAATGATTTACTGATACTAATAATTTACTTATACTAATTAACCCATAACTGGGGAGAAGTAGTGATTCCATGCTGATTTCAAGAGTAGTTGTGTGTAAGCGAATATAACGAACCCAACTGGAATTTGAACTCGGCTCTCCAATTCCTAGACATTATCGATTACACCAAGTTTACAATACCGTGTATACCCCTCTAGATATTGACTAGTTCGATGTTGCTTAACTTTGAGAACGGGCGTTTGTTTTCTTCCTCTTCGTTTTTCCTTTTCTTCTTTTATGATGTTTTTCATATACTTTCTTTCTTTCCCCCTTCTTTCTCCTTCCACATCATCTACACTTTTCCCATCGTCATGTATTGCTTCTTCTTCTTTTTACTTTTAATTCTATATTTTTCTTCTTCTTTTTTTACTTTTAATTCTATATTTTTTCTTCTTTTTTTTACTTTTAATTCTATATTTTTTCTTCTTTTTTATCGCACTTTTTAAATCTTTTTTCTTTACTTTTCTATTCTCATAACTTCTTCGTGAGATATCTTTATTCTTTACTTTCTCTTTCTTCAAATTTAGATTTTTCTTCTTTTTCGTCGTTCTTCACAGTTTCTTTTTTAATATCATGTTTTCACCATTTCCTCCTCCTCTTCTTCTTCTTCTTCTTCTTCTTCTTTTCTGCTCTTCCTTTCTTCTCTGTGGTCTTTCTGTACATATCTTTTTTTTTAGTATCTTCTTCTTCTTCTTTTTGAATAAATCAATTCCTTGCCATCACTCAAATTCAAGAAGAAATCGAATATTGGTCCCTAAACCCAATCAATCGCTAACCCAAGAAGCAGATTGTAGCGATCGATACACACATTTAAAAAGATAAAAAAACTAAAAACCATAAAGGTAAGTAAAGCAACCATCGTGAAAGCATGATGAAGTACATACTCCATTATCTGTCCGTGTGTTTTGTGAGGAGAACTTGAAAAAGAAAAAAAATCAGACGCCATCTTCATTTAGTTCTATTCTAAGAAAGAGCGTAGGTGTTTCGTTGCTTCACTGATCACAGATACTCTTTAAAAATGTACGTGAGTAAAAAAAATACCCACCTACATACACACACGGAGGAGATTTGCATGTATAGCAATGGTTTTTGAGTTCGAATTCTGACCAAGGTTTTTACCTTATCACATTGAATGTTTTTGCGAAAAATACCAGTTCCTCTCTTCTCTAAACTCTTTAAAGCAACCACTCCTGTAGAAATAGCCCTTAATAAAGCCCTTTAACAAGGTTCGAACCGTATATAGGGGAAACGAACGTTTTGTTCGGCTTGCATTTAGACCGTTCAATCACGAATAACTTCAAGGTGAAGCAATACTGAATTATGTTCATAAGTGAAAGAACATCTATCGTTTAAACCTTTCGAAGCCCACACCCGTTAACATTATTTTCTTTCTGAAATGAAAAAAAAAATGAAAACCAATTAAGGGATATTTAAACTGACGTTATCCACATTAAGATTAAATTAAGTGGATACACGTGTTTTAGTAGACATCTCTTTTTTTTTAAACCGAATAATTGACCGGCCTTCATTTTCCGAGAAGTTTTAATAAAGAAAGCGCGCATTTTATATCGTCCGATGACCTCTGCAATTTAGCTGAAAAAATTAGGAATCCTAATCTGGTGGCTACGTCTCAGTCACTTACCCAAAGCCGTAAGGTTGCCTCTCTGTGTCTTTTCTATAAATACTTTCATGGCAATTGTTCAAATGTGCTCTTCTTTATTTGGTTTCTTGTAAATAGTTTTGTTTTCATATTGCAAATACTCATTAGGGATAGTTTTTAAATTGTTGTTTTATTCCCCTCCCCCGACAGACAATGAATTGTACATATGGGGATTGTTAGGATTTTCATAGAGACAACGAGGTATTAGGGTGAATGTAGTAAGAAAGGTAAGTAAGAATGTGTGGTTTTGCTGTTAGAATTATTGAGGTATGATTGAGTCAGTATTTGTGGCTAGCTAAGTATAATATTAAGGCAAAAGAAGACCGTTTTTTTACCTCATTCTCCATTTTGACTTTCTGCCACATTTTGTAAATATTTACAAACAAATATCGGTCTTGGAAAATTATTTTGTTTAGTTTCTTGTAAATAGTTTTTGTTTTCATATTGTAAATACACATTGGGGCTAGTTTTTAATTTTTGTTTTACTTTCCTCTCCCCACAGACAATGAATTGTACATTTGGGGAGTAGTTAGGACTTTCATGGAGACAATGAGGTATTATGGTGGATGTAGTAAGAAAGGTAAGTAAGAATGCGTTGTTTTAGTGTTAGGAATATTGTGATATGTTTGGGTCAGTGATTTGTGGCAAGCTAAGTTTAATATTAAGACAGAAGAAGACCGTCCTTTTTTGCATTCCTCATTTTGGTCTCGTGCCACATTTTCTGTACTGAAGCGGAAATAAATATCGCTTTTCTCTATAGAATCTAAACTTTTTGAAT